TGGATGATAATAGTCTAATAAATTCACGAGGGAAAGATATACAATTCTTTCGATATCAAAAAGGGTTTCTTCAATCAAATTATATTTCTTCATGAGTTTTTCGCTTGCCTTTGTTGATTAGCATATGAGCTTTTATTGAGCCCGGAACCTAAAGGATATAAAATATTAATAAAAATTTTAAAATAGTATATAAAATTTTATATAAACCAAAACGGTAAAATAGCTGAAACAACAGTGATTTACTCCACCGGAAAAAGCAAAATCGCTGCCACTGCAACGATTTTGCAAAATGTGAATTTTTTTTCAAAAAAATTCAAATCGCTACCTAGGTTTTTAGAAAATCGTTTCCTAGGCAGCGATTTTTTTTTTATTTAAATTTTTTTATTATTTTTTAAAAAATCTTTGCCTAGGCAACGATTTTCAATTTTTTATAAAAGTTTTTTTTTATGAAAATCGTTGTCTGGGTAGCGATTTAGTTTTTTTTTGAATTTTTTTTTATAAAATCGGTGCCTAGGCAGTGAGTTTAAATTATTTTTTTTTGAAAATCGCTGCGATTTCCATATTTTTTTTTAAAAAATTATTTTTTTAGAAATCGTTGCCTAGGCAGCGATTTTCTAAAAAATTTACAAAAAATTGAAAATCGCTGCCTAGGTAGAAATTTTATATAAAAAAAAAAGAAGTTAAATAATGATTTACCATTTGAAAGTTAAAATTTCGTTTTTCACATGACCAATTTTGACTAAAATTCATATTATTGCTATTATTTTTTATTTGTTGTTGGAATAATATTTTCGAAGTTTATTATTATATAGAGAAGTTAATTTCAGTTTATTAAGAAGTTATTGAGACAAACTATTAGTTAATTACTTGGAGCCTTTTCATTATCACATGCTGATCTTTCGTATTCTATCCATCTCAAAAATTGGTTGATTAGTTTCTCTCTTATCTTTTAATGAATTTATATTTGAATTTTTTTTGAAAAGAAATTGTGATTTTTAATTTTTTGTAAAATTTTTTTTTTATAAAATCGCTGCTTAGATAGCGATTTAATTTTTTTTGAACGATTTTTATATTTTTTTAAAAAAAATGAAATCGCTGCCTAGGCAGCGATTTTCTAAAAAAAATAATTTTATTTTACAAAAAATTAAAAATCGCTCCCTAGGTAGTGATTTCAATTTTATATATAAAAAAAACACATTTTGCAAAATCGCTGCAGTGGTAGCGATTTTGTTTTTTCGCTGGAGTAAATCATTGTTGTTTCAGCGATTTTGCCGTTTTGGTTAATATAAAATTTGTATATACCGTTTTGAAATTTTTGCTAATATTTTATACCTTTAGGCTTCGGACTCAACTTTTATCAATAAGAAAATAATTAATTTTCAGATAAGTTTTCAAGTTACTTTTAATAATATTATATTGGAAAAATAATCAAGTCCCCTCAACCTATGCCCGAAATCCCAGAGACACATTTATACTATACTAAGGTTCTATTACCCCTCTGAACTTATTTTATATGTAATTTTCTACCTCTTTTTAGCCTACGTGGCACTAGTTCGAAAAGAAAAGTCAACCATCGTTGGTCCCTCAAGATAGTGCCACGTAAGCTAAAAAGGGGTAAAAAATTATTAATAAAATAAGTTCAGGGGTAATAGGACCTTAGTATAGTATAAGTGTGTCTCTGAGATTTCGAGCATAGGTTAAGGGTGTACTTGGGCATTATCCCTATTATATTCATAATAATCCAAGATTATATATTTTTCTTTGCTTCATAGTATATATGAAGGTAAGAAATGTTTTAATATTCAAGTCTTTCGTTTATGTACTTAGACGTATTTAAAAAAAAATATTTTATGCATATATTGTCATCCTCGATCCTCTAGACAAGTATATGATCAAGAGTATGTTTGTAAAAATGAACAATGTATCGTCACTATATAAGTACTTGCTCTTTTTAAAAGTAAGTTTGTAATTGATATTAACTTTATAATTATATAATGTTGTTTGATTACAAACTTTGTTAGATTTTTAGAGATGTTGATCAATTGAAAAATAATTTGTAGAGTATTGTATAATTGAGGTTTTTTTTTATGTATATAATTAGTTTTTGATTGGTAACTTTTTTTATTCAATTGGTAATGTGATGAGGAGCATGACACGGAGAGTAGAAAATGACGACGATTCTGCTTATAAAGAAAGATGTTAAAAAAAAAATTTTAAGCATAATTACGAATTAGTTTTACTAGAATCAATTTTTACTTTGAATTGCATTAGTAACTTGGCTGCTTTTACTATAATTTTTTCAACTTTAATTTGTATTAATAAATCAATTGCATGTATTGTCAATGCTACTCTTTTAATTTTGTACTATTCAATTTTATTTTATTTTCGGTATGGAACACAAACAATAGAATCATCTCATTTCAATAAAAGAATTAAGTGACACCGTTTTTTTAGCCAAAAGTCTTACTTTCATTACAATTTTTTCTGTTTGTATTATTATTAGTTATAACTTTCACTCTTAAACATTTTTCATAATTTTTGTGTGTCTCATTGTGATAATTTTTAAAAATATTTAATTAATATTTCAAAAATCATAATAAACAAATATAATAACAAAGACACAATGAAGAAGTTTAAATATATTTTCAAGAAATTTGTATAAAGAATCAAGCACTCCTACAAAAATAGAGAAAATTAAAAAATAGAATAACATTTTCAACTTAATACAATGCATTGTTATTTTAAAGAGAAAATATTTAAATATGTCATCGAATTTTTAGAAAAGACTTATTTATGTTATCCGTTAAAAGTTTGTCTCATTTATGTCATTGCTGTTAAAGAAAAAGCTCACCCATGCCATTTTTTTACTCCAATTTTGCAAAATCATTTTTTAAACACCAAACAAGGTTTTAACACTTTTTATTGGTGTTTTTGGATCAACTGTACATTTTTTATTCATCAACTAATTAAGTTAATTCGTTGTTTTTTTTTATAAAAAAAAAGTCTCTAAAATCAATTTAAAAATATCTGAATAAATCAGATGTGTAGAATAGTCTTAACAACATTCAGACTCATTTAATGCGCTCTATTACCAAAAAAACGCACAACTTTGCCTTAAATTTGATATTGTTACAACAATTTCAATTAAAGTTCGGATATATATATATATATATATTATTATTATTTTCTTTTGGGTCTATTGATATTTATCAAAATTTCTTGTTGTCATTCTTTTTGGCTGTTTTAATATTTATAAAAAAACTCAAGATTTTAAGTGAAGAAATATTAGTTGAGATTGAAAATAAATACGGAAAATATACAATATTTATGTGCTTGAGATTTCTTATTTAAATTTTATTTTTAAATCATTAATTTTATTGAGACTTTTTAATAGTCAAATACCGCATATGAAAATATATTAGATATATCATTATCATTGTAGTCGGAGAAAGAAGTGATATCATAACATACTACTATTAAATTAGTTTTTGCTTCTATTTTTAAATATGAAGGATTTTCTTTTTATTTTGATATTTTCATTTTAATTGTCATTGTTTAATTATTGTTGATTGTGTATGTACAGATATTATATTATTATAAAAAATCTGGTGAAATTCAAAAATGATTTGAATATTTGGATGTAGATAAGACTTTCTTAAAAAATTATACTAAAAAAATATCCTTAATCGAAATACTTGAAAGTACTTTGAAGAATCTTAAAATAAAACTGCAAAAATATTGGCCAAGATTAAAACTTTGTAAAATATACAATATTCTCTAATTAAATTTGTTGTTTTAGACCTGGTTTTAGATCACTAATATTTTGAGATTTATATAACATCAAAACTGTTTGTAAAATGGTATCAAATATATTATTCTTTTATTTAATCCCTCGATGTATGTGAATTAGAGAGTCAAAGAATGAGAGTTGAATGAAGTGATGTAATGTTTAATCAAATATGAATATTTATTTCAATAGAAAAAATAACGGGGCCTAAAATATCTTTGAGATATTGAAAATGGTACACAATTACCCTCATCCACCTATTGGCCCCCAAATACCCTTTCACATCCACCTTTGGATCCAAATTTACTCCTTCAGACCAAAATTAAAAATAATTAAATAATATTTTTTAATTACGTGGCACTCAACCATTGGTTGTAATTTAATTATTAAAATAATTTTAAACCCACCCATTTTAACTAAACCCGCCCCACTTGACCCAACTTTTTTTTAAAAAACCCATAAATTTTAGCGTAAATTACATAGATTTCATATTTCTAATATGAAATAACAATCAATCCTTAATAAGTTTTTAATTATATTAATTGCTTAAAAATTTAAAAAATTGAATACAATAATTAGAACTCGGATATATTAGATATTGTTTCGGATATATTAAAAACTAGTTTGAATACATAATATGTAGCTCACACACTTTAAACACTAGCTTAGATACATTAATATGTAGTTCGAATAAATTAAAAACTAATTCAAACACATGATATATACCTCGAATACATTAACAGTTTTTTAAAGTAATATGAAATAATGAGAATAAGTAAAAAAAATATTTATGTAATTTATCCTAAATTTTAATAATATAATATTTAATTTTATATGCCAATTCAGATATTTCTTAATTAATCATTCATAAGTCATGTTAATGCAGCGTTACTTTTAATTGATACATACAGCGCCATCCACTAAAATTGGCTAGACATCCTCACAATTAAAACGTCAGTAGGTGGGGCCCAATTAATTCCGTCCCCACCCAAAGAAAAACGAGAACATTCATCCATACATGGATGGACACGTCAAGTTCATGCACTGAACAGCGCGTGAAATGTACTCACCCTTGTTAGTTTCCCAAAAACACCCTCTCAACCCTGATATAATTTCACTAATACCCTTGAATCTTCCCTATATAATCCTTGCATATCTTCTTCCCTTTTCATTCGAAATCTAATCAGCATCACATTAATAGTTTTGTATATAAATATCTCCTCAACTGGCTAATTCTCAGGAAATTCTGGAAGAAACTAGAAATAAAGGGGTGGTGCTCGCCCTATATGAAGCTTTGAGCTCACGTGACGTTGACAAGGTCCAGAAACTTCTGGCCTCTGACCTTGAGTGGTGGTTCCATGGTCCACCTTCACATCAATTTTTGATGCGCATACTAACTGGTACTGCCAACTCCGATCACTATTTCTTCAAATTCATTCCTCAAAGTGTTGACGCCTTTGGATCTACTGTCCTTGTCGAAGGTTGCGATCCTGATCACTCAATTACTTGGGTTCACGCTTGGACTGTTGATGATGGGATAATTACTCAGGTTAGGGAGTATTTCAATACCTCTCTCACAGTCACTCGACTTGACAATAGTAATAATAATAATAATTGCCCTTCATCGGATTTGTCTTCCATTGCTGCTACACGGCATTGCCCTTCTCTTTGGGAGAGTAGTTTACCTAATCGGGTGGGTAAGTCGGTTCCGGGTCTTGTTCTCGCTCTCTGAGTTCCGCCAGGATGTAAGTTTTTAACGGTTGATTTGGGGGTTTTCGTCGCATTGTTTTGATTTTATTATCTGCAATTTTAATTTGGGACCATGAGGAATGGGATATCCTTGTACTGGTTATGGTGTTTTAATATATTATGTGATACGCGATGTATTTGGTTTGCAATAAAAGCACTTGTTGGTTTTTTTGAAAGTAGTTTATTTCATGATTTTTTTTTAGATTAGTTTTGAATTTTTTTACGAAAATAGACGAATTTAAGATTTTAAAGTAAAAATAAACAATTATTTAACATTCTATATCACAACTGACTCGTTGCTAAGTACCTGAGATTTTTTGTTTACTGGAAAAGTGAATTACTCAGATTGAAATTGATTGATGCAATGCTAAAGAAGTAGGTGCAGGAGACGGGAAATACTTTGCTTTTGGTGTAGCCAAAAATAATTCAATGGGAAGGCTTTTCAACGGGATTAATAAAAAATATTTTCTCCTTTTCAAAATAATATTTCTAATTTTTTTTTAATTTGTTTAAAAAATAATTTTTTTGTGACATAACTTTAACTTTTTATGTGACATGCTTAAGATCACAAGATTAAAGAACATTTTAATACATTTGACATAACTTTAATTTTGAACCACAAGATTAAAAAGTTTTCTTTCTTTTCTTAAAATTCTGTTATAAGTCAAACTAAATCATTCTTTTTGTAACATAGAGAGTATAAAAAGAATTGCAACTTATCATGTTATTAGTATACATTTAGAGCCTGTTTGGCTCAGCTTAAAAGCTGGTCAAACTGACTTAAAAGCTGATTTTTGACTTATTTAGATGTTTGACAATCCTCAAAATAATTTATTTTAAGTTAAAAAAAATTATTTTAAGCCAAAAGTTAAAAGTTGGGGTAGGGGTATTTTTTTTCCAGCTTATAAGATGTTTTAAGTTAACCACATCTTTACCTTTTTACCCTTAATATTTTTATACAATCTCCAAATTACCCACGTAACCCTAACATTTCTTTCTTCTATTTTTCCCTTTTCACGTGTGGATGATAGACAATTACAATTATTAATAAATGAAAATAAAATAAATCTTAAATCTTTCAAGTGATCTATTCAAATTATATATTATTAAAATGTATAATAAGTTGCACATATAACTTAAATAAAAATTTATATTTCTCTTATAAATAATTTGTGATAATAAAGAAATATGTGAATGATAGACTATTATTATTACCTATGGATGAAACTAAAATAAAATCTTAAATCGTTCTTTGATCTATTCAAATTATTTATCTTTAAAATCTATAATAAGTTTATATTCCTCTTATAAATATTTTGTGATGAGAAAGAAATTTGTGAATGATAGCAAAATATAATTATTTATGGCTGTAAAATATAAATTGATTAACTTTTTTTTATGTTAACAACTTCTAAGGGTATTTCAGACATTTGATTTAAGAAACTGTTTATGAGCACTTATTTGCCAAACACATCAACAACTTTTTTTTTTAACTTCAGCACTTTTATCCAAACGCATAACTGCTTATTTTAAAAATAAGTTTCAGTACTTTTAAAAGTATTTTTTTAAAGCTGCTTTTATTAAGTCCATCCAAATGGGCCCTTATTAGGATTTCAAGAAACTTATCAGCCATACATTGTTAGATAGATAAGTGGAAACCACTCCAACCCGACCCCCACCGTCTTTGACGTGCTTATAGTATGATATATGCTTAATTTTACTACGAAAAAAGTATTGTCTTTTATGATACTTTTTTATTTGATACAATTTTAAAAATTAAAATTAAAATTTGTGGTCTATAATATTTTTAAATATTTATCTGAATTAGAATCATTTCACGAAGAATAAATTAAAATATTTTAAATTATAGAAAGTTGAAATTCTTTTTGGCACAAACTATAAAGGTCAAATCAAGAAGTAATGTTTTCACCATTTTGATCAAACTACAACACAATGTATATATAGCTACAAAATTTAAGTTATAATTTCAAAATCGTAACTATTATATATTAATATCAACAAAATTTTATATTTTTATGGATATTCATAAATTCATAATATTCGTAGATACAAAATTAAATTGACATAGCTACTTTATTTTCGCTACAATTGCTAATTTAAGTCATGACAATAATAACCTAAATAGTTGTTCCCTCTGTCTGCTTTTAATTGTTATGATTTTCTTTTTTTTAGAGTTAAACTTTATGAACTTTGACCAACATTTTACGATGTAATCTTCATCAAATTGATATGCAAAAATTGCAATCTTCTTGTATAGTTTTTAAATATCTAACTTTTAAAAAAAGAATTAATGTAATTTAATTTGTTAAATTAATTTTTGAAAAATGAAACATGACAAATAAAAGTAAACGGAAAAATTATAACTTTATTACTTCAATAATATTTATAATTGATCATGAAATTTTACCATAAAATAAAAATTATGACAATAATTAAACGATATAACTAGAGAATTTTAGCTATATATAAATTTTTGTAAGCAAATTATATTAGACATCAATAAATCAAGTTATAGACATCGTGACAGTTATTAGATTATATAACCACAACATTTATAATTGATCATGAAATTTTATCATGGGATAAAAATTATGACAATAGTTAAACGATATAACTAGAGAATTTTAGTTATATATAAAAAAAAAATTAGCAAATTAATTTAGTCTAAGCTAGGAGTTGAAACTTATTACAACAATAGATCAAGTTATAGACATCGTGACAATTGTTAAATTATATAACCACAATATTTTTATTGTAATTTTTTTTAGCTGATTACTATTTTTTGCCACGAGTTAAAATTTACTGTAACAATAGTAATCTCAAATGAATTATTTGGAAAAAAAATTATTGTAGCTAAATAAATATTTTTGTTTCAAGTTAAAAAAATTATGGGATTAAACAAGTAACTTTATACATTATAATTGAAATTTTAGAGACATCTAACTAAATCAATATTTTATTAAGCCTTTTATATTTTATAATTTTATACCTTTTAATTTAAGTTTAAATCTCGATTTTCAAGCCCCCTCTGTTCCACACTTCTTCTATTTTTGAGTCTTTTCTCAAAATGATAAAATACCTTAAATAAGTGTCAAACACATGGAAATGAGTGTAGATTTCAAGTATTAAGCTAGATTATACTTGAAATAAATTATAAATATGAGAAATACGCCTTTAAAAAGTGTAAATTCACTGTTATTATTATAAAAGCTAAATAAAATTCATTTGAAACAGGGTATTAAATCTTATACAATTTAAGTACATGAAAGCCGGAGAAAAAAACATTATATGAAAATAGTGCGGTAATTAGGATGTACATAGGTTGGATTACTTTGGTTTTTCATTAAAAAAATTTAAATTAATTATGTCGGTTAATTAAATCTAAAAATCAAATCAAATTATATAATTTTTTCAATTTCAATTTTAATTGGTTCTTTTGATTTTTTTCAACTATACAGACGATAATATTTGAAAAAGAGATCAAATATATTTTATCTTACCTGTTTGATAATTAAATTTAAAAAATATTAAATTGATAGAATTTTTCAAAAAGACGATAAAATTCACAGGAGTACAAAATATTTTTTGAAAATATCAGTGTACATTATGTTTAATTAATAAGATTAAAGGCTACATGTAAGTTAAATACAAAACAAAATATTTACAAAGTAAATCGTTATCTTTAAATTTTGTAACACTATAACAATATAATTATAACTTTGGATCTTAACACAATAAAAATATTTATAAATTTTTACAAGCCCAAATAAAAATATATATATATATATATATATATATATATATAA